TCTCTCCCTCCCCTCTTCTCCCCTTCCATCTTATTTCCTTCTTCCATGCTTTTTTTTACACTTGTTAGACAAGTTACATTGAGTTACAACCCCAAATAATTTTTTCTTTCTGCCATATCTAAGCCATAGTATGTCAAAGAGTTTACAAAGACCTTCAAGGAGTCCTCAGATCCACAACCATCTCACTACTGCCTGCCTACAAAGACTTTTTCTCTCACCCTCTGATTATTTAACATTAGTTAAAATTTCACATTAGAAATTCCATTAGCATGTTTTGTCCATGAATATCCTTATGGATTGGGGCCAAATGTATATGGAGATGGTTAAGCTGATTGTCTGGGACTGGAGCACAAGTGTTGGCAATACAGCCCTAAAATTAAGGGTGGCAGCAAAAATGAAGAGTTGTAATTTTACAAATGACTCCAAATGAACTGGGAATGACTTCAAGGAACCAAAGCAGGTTAGCATATGCTTCCAGAATAAAATATACTGTCAAGAGTAATTTTTCTTGCCAGGCATGGTGCTGCATGTCTTTAGTCTCAGTGCTCAGTGAGTTCAAGACCAACCTGTTTTACAAAGAAAGTCAGGGCGGTTATGCAAGGAAACCCTGTCTTGAAAAACCAAAACCAAAACAAAACCAAAACAAAACAAAACCAAGTAAACAAATAAGCAAAGAATAATTTTTCCAGCTGATTGGTTTTACCATATCACTACTATGCTAAAACAACTTCTGTTGTATCTCAATTATCTTTTTAAAAAAGGGGTAGTCTTCAAAGACTTTTTACACCCTCTACTTCTATTACTTACTTTGCCCTAACCTCTTTGCTCAACTCTTTGTATGGTCCCCTGATCTCAGTCAGTCCAGTTCACGCTCAGCATGGATTTCCACTGTTTCCTTTCTCCTTGCCTACAAATATTTTATACTTGTCCCATGCTGATCTTTGTTAACTGACTAATCATGATCTACTTCAAGATATGCTTTTTTTCAATAAGTCATCCCTACTTCCCTGACAGCATCACATGACACTTTGTGCCAGAATACATGGAGCTACAGGAAGAATTCACAGAGCTATTGTCCTACAGCCCCCAGGTCAGCACTGTGATCTGGTTTTTCTCAGATGGGAGTTGAGAGACACAAGTTCTAGATAGCTGTTCAACCAGCAATTATCTCTGTGACCTAAGACATAGTGCTTAATCTCACTGGACGTGTGTTTTCTTGTCTATATAAGTCAAGGGGTAGGAATGTGCAATGGAAGTCCAGACTTCCTTTCTCACACATTTGTTATGAAGCTCAAGAGAAATAATTTATTTAGGTATAGTTTGGAAGTCAAATGCATCTTATAAACACAACTTTTAAATCTACAACCCAGTATCTCTTAAGCCCCAGGAGACCTGAGTGAAGAGATAATGGGTTTGAATTCTAATCCCATCTAAAATGTCACACTTGCCTACCTTCCCCATAAATGTGGCTCACAACCCCATCTCTATTTTACTTAGAAAATTATTACAAAAGATTCTATTTCACCTTTGAATATTGCCAAGGTGGCAATGTGGGGAAGACAGGCAGCTGCTAAGACTCAGTAAAAGGCAGCTAATTCATTCAAAATTTCTGTAAAAAGGAGGACTTAAGAAATTTAAAAGTATTGGTCCAGGGCCAAGGGGCCCTCTAGCATTGCATTATCACTCACATTCAATAATGAAAATGAAAGGAGAAAAAAAAGAAGAGCTTCAGTGTTGTAATGGTTCTCTGGCCTCTGCTTAAACGATCCTTGGCTATCTGAAATACCAAATTCTGCTGAAAAGCACTGCAGAAAAAAGGTATCCTACCCAGTAACCTGTAATGCATGAGCTGATTAGCAAACACTTCCTAAATCATTCTCTGACCTCATTGCTGGATTAGAGATTGAGGAAGACACACAGCATCTATTATAAGCAAACCTTTTTCTGGTTTTGCTTTTAGTAAAAACAGGTTATGGAGGAGAGGAAATATACTAGTTGCGGCAAAAGTACCTCCCAAATCAGGCACCAATCAACCATTCTGATTCCCTGTTACCAAAAAGACATATATAAAGCATTGTATTCAAAGCTAGTCAGAAGAAGAAAGATCAAAACAGACAAATAAAATCAGCCCTTGCCCTCAAACTGTGACAGACATTTTTTTTGAAGCACCAAGAAATCATTTTAAAAGACTTAAAGGTAATTATAATACAATTCCAGTAGTATATAGACCCAGCAACCTACTCCAGTGGAGCAAAAACTGGACACAAACAACACCCAAATGATCTTGGAGCAAGAGATCACACCATAAATGTTAGATTCATCGTGACTGAGCATAGACAGAATTATAAACAAGAGTTCACTGAATATACATACAGTGATGACTCCAAGTTGTCTCCTAGTGCTGTCGTGTTTGGTGACAAAATCATCTGTGTCAAAACCCAAAAGGCCATCTTTTTTTCTGTGATTGCACAGCTTTCAGCTTTTCTGACTCCATGTTGAAGCTTTCTAAAATAAACATCTAAATGCGGAACACAAGTTTCTTTGAAGGATTTTTGTTTGTTTGTTTGTTGTTTGTTTTGTTTTCACCAGAGTGTAAAAACCTGGAAACTGACTCGAAGCCTAGGTTCAAAACTGGTTAGATGTGAGACCCGTGGGTTTCAGATATGAACAGACACAATTAACACAGCTTGTGTGTGTGTGTGTGTGTGTGTGTGTGTGTGTGTGTGTGTGTGTTGAGTGTGGAATCAGAAAGAGGAAGAGGGTCGACACAATAAGATGGATTTATTAGAAAAAGAGCTCCCTGGGCTTTCTCCCATCCTAGAGGGTCCCTGTGCTGGGCTTTGGAGCTGTCAAGCAGTGTGACTTGTATTCAGAATGATAGGTTTAAGTAAAGATACTGCAGCAAGTGTCAGAGAAATGCTGACTGCATCATAGATTGTGGTCTTTGGAGGGGGATATCCGAGACTGCCACAGTGGCATTCATTGCTAAGATGTGGTGTTGAGAACAGAAAAATACTGCAGATTCTAGAAATTATTGGTGACTAACAGCTAACAAAGGAATAGGGACCAGCGGATGTTGCACTCTGCAAAAAGATTGATGGAGGAGGGGCTGCAGATGGAGGGCTGCCATCCAAACTGCAGCATTCTCTGTGTGGGAGATAAATTCACTTGTCATATTTCAAATTAGGTTTATAGGTATTCCTCCCCCACCCAGCTGTGGCTTGATGGGAAGACTTCTCAAATTTTAATTCTATATGGCAGCATATTGGCGTCTAAAGTCTAGGTCTAAGATGATGGTTTGTAGGTATGTGTGCATGACTAACAAGGACAGAGCTTCTAAGGTATCCTAATGTCGTTGGAGGCAAGGGTGCTGCTGCAGCAACCTGTCCTTTTTGCAACACGTTTTTCCATCCCTAACGTCAGAGTGCTTCAGGAGGCTTAAAAATTAAAAAAAAAAAGAGATGTGGGTGTTGGAATTATTTTTTTCTCAATCCAGGACTTGACCATTTCACACACACACACACACACACACACACACACACACACACACACACACACTTTAGATTAGAACTCCTGCAGATACCTAGGAAGTCCAGTTCAAAGCAGAAGAGTCTCTCCTATGGCAAAGTCTAGCTAGACAGATGCCAGATAGCTGCGGAGATCAGCATAGCCTCAGCTGCTGAGCTCACAGCCTAGACACCACCACTGCCAGGTCTCTCTCTCTCTCTCTCTCTCTCTCTCTCTCTCTCTCTCTCTCTCTCTCTCTCTCTCTCTCTCTCTCTCTCTCTGTGTGTGTTTGTGTGTGTCTCTGTCTGTGTGTCTGTGTTTGTCTGTTTCTCTCTCTGTCTCTTTCTGTCTCTGTCTCTCTGTCTCTCTCTCTGTGTCTGTGTTTGTCTGTTTCTCTCTCTGTGTCTCTCTGTCTCTGTCTCTCTCTGTGTGTCTGTCTGTCTCTCTCTCTGTCTCTCTCTCTTTCTGTGTCTGTGTTTGTCTGTTTCTCTCTCTGTCTCTCTGTCTCTGTCTCTCTGTCTCTCTCTGTCTCGCTGTCTCTGTCTGTCTGTCTGTCTGTCTCTCTCTCTCTCTCTCTCTCTCTCTCTCTCTCTCTCTCTCTCTCTCTCTCTCTCTCTCTCTCTCTCTCTCTCTCTCTCTCTCTGTCTCTCTCTGTCTCTCTCTCCTTGCTGTCTGGCTCGTGCAGGGCTGCATCTGCAGCCTGCAGAAAGCCAGGGCTCCAGTTCTCCCTCATCACACTCCGTTCCCAAACACCGCAAAACCGGTACCGGAACAGCAATCTCCTCAACGGTTGTGATTTAGAAAACTGCAGGCAAAATAAAATAAACTGGGCTTGGAAGACTCTCGGAGGAGGGTCTCCACACCCCATCCCCATCTCTCTTTTTCCAATCTCTGCAGGTTAATTTCTTTTCCTGGGTTAAATAAAAAGGATTACTTGTTCATCCTGACTTGGAGAATGGGAAGGAAGTGGATAGGGAGAGCAAGAGGTTGATCCCAGGCTAAATCCACCTGCTGCTGAAGTGGGAGAGCGATCAACTACCTTATGGAAGCTGTTAAGACCGGCAGCGGCTCCTGTAAAGTGTAGAAGGATTGCAAAGATCCTCAACTTCTCTCTCACTCTGTGTGTGTGTGTGTGTGTGTGTGTGTGTGTGTGTGCTGTCTGTCTGTCTGTCTGTCTATCTTTGGCTCTCTCCGTCTCTGTCTGTCTGTCTGTCTGTCTCTGTGTCTCTTCCCCATTCTTGTCACTAAAGAGTTAACTCCGGCCGGGCTCCAAGTCCTCCCCACAAGCCACTTCACTCCCCCTCCTCTTTTTTGGCCCCCTCTCTTCCTGCGCACGTCGCTAAGAGGTCATCAAGCGCTCTGCCCAGTCGCGTTCTCAAGTCTTACTCTTTCCCGCCCATCAAACCCGTAGCTGCTTACGAAGAGGTGTGCGCTCACCAAGGGGCGTGTTCCAGCTCCAGGAGACGCTGCGCGCCCCTAGGTTAGACCTCAGAGCTGCGCTAGCCATGGAGCGAAGCGGGTGCAAAGTTTGGCACCCCGCAAAGGGATGTCAGCTAAGAGTGGGCGAACCGCCCGAAGGCTCTTTAGCCTTCCAATCTTAGGGGCTCCAGCTGCCTGGACCCCAGACGGCGTGCTGCAATGGACGGTGTAGATTCGGCGGCCCAGGGCACTGCCCAGCCTCAGGATGGAGAGCAGCCGGCCGAGTCCCCGGAGCCGCCGCCGCCGCCTCCCGCTCCGCCGCCGGCTCCGCCGCCGGCGGCTCCTCCACCAGAACCAGAACCAGAACCAGAACCAGAACCAGAACCAGAACCAGAACCAGAACCAGAGCCTCAGCCTGCTCTGGGACCCTGTCCAGAGGCGACTCCAGAACCAGCCACAGACCGAGACACAAAAACAACCCCAGAGCCGGCCCCGGAGCCGGACCCAGGACCAGACTCAGAGCCGGAACCAAAACCGGACCCAGAACTTGTCCCAGAGCCGGTCCAGGAGCAAGTCCCAGAATTTGCCCCGGACCCGGACCCAGGACCAGACTCAGAGCCGGAACCAAAACCGGACCCAGAACTTGTCCCAGAGACGGCCCAGGAGCCAGTCCCAGAATTTGCCCCAGAGCTGGCCCCAGAGTCGGCCCCAGAACCTGTCCCAGGTCCAACCCTAGAGTTGGCCCCTGAACCGACTAGAGAGCCTACCCCAGATTGTGACACAGGGCTAGCCCTAGAGTCAGCCCCAGAACCTGCTACGGAGAGGGCCCCAGAGTGGAGCCTTGAGCCAATTCCAGAGAGTCCAGAGATGAGTTCAGCACTACAACTACAACTGTTGCAGTTTCAGGTGGACCCTGAAGAGAAAGGTCGAAAGCCATCTCCATTGCTATCGCCCAGACCGTCAGTAACGTGGTCCAGAATAAAGGTATGAAAAAGAACCTCTCCCGGGGGGGGGGCGGCAAGGTGAGGTCGGATAGCTATGGAGTTTGCTGGTCTCCAAGCATCCCTTGCATCCTTTTGGCTGCCACTCACTGACCAGAAAGATGTAGGAATGGGAGAGCCCAGGGAAGCGGGAAGTGGTTGGGAAGCGGGAAGCAACATGTGGGAAAAAAAAAAAAGAGTAAGCTGCTTGGGTTTAGGAAAAGAAGAGACAGCAGAAGTGCGGGTCAGAACAGTTTCCCCCATGGGAGAAAGTGACAGTGCACTGGGGCATCTATATCTTGAGAAAAGCCTGGAGAGACGTCCTCAGGGAACGCAAGATACCTGAAGTATTTGCGGCTGGCTCAAGGTACTTCAGTGGATGACACTGAGGGAGGAGGGAGATGGGACACACCTCTGCCACAGTCACTGCCGCAGAGGCCCAAGCTGCAGAGCCTCTGCCTGCTAGCCCCCCTCCCTGCCACTGAGGGGGAGGGGGCACATTAGCTGAAGACACTCTAGGGAGGTCCCTGGTGCCTCAGTCCACTGCTGGGCACTGGTACACCAGGCAGAGGTGAGGGGAAGGGCGGCGCCCACGCGCACTGCAGGGGAAGGGCAAGGTTCCTGGGAGGAGGGGGAGAGGATGCGTGTGTTGAAGGCACCCTTCTGTCTATCTGCAAGATTTACCAGCAGGTAGGTGCAAACACAGTGATACAGTGACGCGAGGCGTCACAAGCGGGCAACTGTCATCCTGAGCCAGGACCAGTTGGAACAGTACTGCAGTCCTTGTTTAGAGACATGAAAACACGAGTTGGGTTTTGTGAGCAGCGCAACTTTCATCCCTCCAGCTCCACAGCAATTCCTTATGAAACACTGCCCTTAACTCGGGGCCGGGGGGGGAATGAATGAAGGGTTCTCTGGCACCAGTCCAAGCCAGAGGAGGGAGGAGGGTTTTCAATGTCTACCTCCCGTCTGTCTGATTTTTTTTCCCTGTCTCTGGTCCCCACAGTCTAAACCGTGAAAATCACGATAATGCCTCACTTTAGCTGCCCCTTAAGAAAAACACACAGCAAATAACACGACATGCCAACAGCGACAGCCCATCCTGCTACTTGCCAGGGCTAGGGCCATGTCTTGGGGATCCCACTGCTGAGAACTGCACACTTGTAGAGCGCAGACTGCAGGGGTGTGGAAGTGCAACTGGCATCCTGACATAGCTTGCCAAGCATCTGCAGTGATAAAGTCTGCAGTGAAGTTGCAAAGAAGACAAAAGGGTGGGCATTTATTTAAATAAACACAATTCAATGATGGTGACCTGGACAATTAAAAACTCAGGGATGGATCTTTCCCCTTCCAGCAGATACCCTTCCTTGGGAAGATTTCAAGAAAGGGAGGGTGGGCAGCTAACCAGGAAGTCCTCCTACCCCCGAGGCTAGTTGTTGTCTCTATGGAAGGGTTTGCACTAAACTGGTGAGTGGGAGGTGACCTGTGGCCATCTTAAGTGACATTTGGGAACCAGGCTGAATAGCTGGCCTAGCTCTGTAATTACCTGGATGGCCTCTGAAGGCATCTTCCCTTTGGCCTCAGAAAGGCAGACTGGGGGCCAAGGACCCCTTTTCCCAATCCCCAGTGAAAATCATTCCTTAGCTCTGAAAGCATAGTCTACCAGCTTGCCTGGAAAATGTCTGTTGCTAGATCTGGAGGATCAAGGCAAGGGGAATCAGGGTAGTTTCCTTTATATTGTGCAGGTTCACTTACACTGACTGACTGTAAGGCAGTATTCATAGGGGACAAAGACCTCGGAGGGTTGACTTTACCCTCAGAAGAGTCAGGCATTTGTTAACCCCCATTATCTATAGAATGGAGTTAGGAACCCTAACTATCCATCAGGAAGGACCTGTGGATAAACTACTAAAGGCTCCTGCAGATTCCAGGGATGCAAAAGATGCAGGTAAATGCTCACATCGTTAAGGGATATGCAATTGCCCTCTGGTGCAGTTGGCAACAGCTGATATTCAGTGATAGGGTCATTTTCTTCTGCATTATTTCAAGCAAGTAGCACCTACCAACAGTTGCATCTTAACATGCAACACAAATAGATTGCCTTATTAGCTGGGGTGTTTTCTCAAATACTGCCTCCTTGAGGAAAGCTTGGGAAAACACAAACACACACACGCACCTTCTCAAACAATACAAGTCTCAGTTTCCAAAGAAATCCTTCATGGCAAGCATGAAACTAGCTTGTAAATTTAAAAGAAGAAAAAGGCAAACGCAAGTGGCTGAGAATATGACTGCAAGTTTTTCCCAGGTAATATTGCTAGCTGGTATTTCAATAAACAAACAAATAAATAACCAGCACCTTCCTGTATTCTGTTCTCTTTGGAGCATTCGGTAAGGTTTCTGGACCTACTAACTGCAGTTCTATGCAGGCACTAGAGACTGCTAAAAGGAGGCTCATGGTTTCTTTCGAAATAGCTACCAGGGTCACAGGTTGTGACCAAAACTATCTGCTCCTCCCCTTCTAAAACGTTCTGATTCCCAGGAAATGCGCCTTGGCCTCCCACCTGGTGGCAGGAAATGTAAGTAAGGATGTGTGAATTGGCCTGCCTCTCTTGGGGGGCTTGGGACTTCTAAGAAGGGCATCATATTTGTTTCTGTCCTCACTTGTGCCTGAAGAAAGATGGTTTGCATTTTTGTATTCTTGATTTACTGGATTCTGAGCAGATATAAAATTATAATCACACAGTATGAGTGACTGATGAAAATGTGGGGAGAAATACACATATGTGACTTATTGGTGGGTGGAGAGGCTTGTGGATCCCTGTTAATGACTATGCAGTAATTACCTTCACCCAGTGATATAAAAATACAGCTTTTTCCCACAGAGCTGATGTTTTGGGCACATATTTTCTTAAAAAATACAGAATTTTTCCAAATTTTATCATCATGTGTGTTTATTACTATGAAAATAATTTTTATTATTTTCTGAAAATAAAATAAAAATAAACTAAGGTTTGGCATCACCAAAATAGCAAACATTTATCATGTATAATATTGGTAAATTGTACTTGATTATTTTATTAGCTTACCTGTTTCTGAGTTTCTCAGAAGTAGGGGCTATCTTTCTCAATGACTGGTGCAATGCAGTACTCCTTGGTTTTGCTCAATAAGCACTTGCTGAAGCTTGGAACCTATCAACGCCATTTCCAGCAACACAGAGATTGCTGCTGAGAATAAATGAAAATACATTCTCATCAGTTCAACATGAGAATAAAATGCTTATTTAAGTAGCCTGATATAGATATATACATGTATATATTCCTTAAAGAAATGAAGTGAATTTAATAATATATATATGCATATATTAAATATTCCAGCATATGTAATGCATATGTGTACATGAATATATATCCCTTAAAGTGCTAATATTCGGAATTGACATTGAATATGTAATTAAGAGAAATATTACTAGTGATTTTTAAATATTAAAAGTGTCCTTATCCCAGCAGCAGCAGACTAACGGTGATGTTGTTGCTTGCAGATGTAATGCTTTTTTTCTTAACTGCATAGAATACCTGCAGTAACCATGAACAGCTCTAGGGTTACGGATTCAGATATTTAACCTGTTGAAGGTCAAGATGAAATTACTTGCTTTCCTCTTAGGTTCTTTTACCATTTATTTGATATATTCTGAGAGCTCCTGAGTATTTCCTGCAGGATGTCCTCAGAAAAAATAATGAGGTATTTGGTCAGTGTATCTTTTCTTTCTGAATGTACAATTCTTATGTATTTATAAAGATCTCCAGCTGGGGCTTCTGAAGGTCTGTAGTCCAAAATGAAGGAAAGAACCTTTACCCACAATGCCTCCTGAGAAGAGGGGAAAATCTATGGAGGCCAAAGAGCACTGTAAGAAGGCTTGCAAAATATTTTCTGCTAGTATGGTACTTTACAATTTATAGAATGATTTCCTCTGTGTTAGTGACTTCTTTACTACTCTGAAGAAGGCAGTAGGGTAGCTAAGGACAAAGCCAAAGCCAGATGGCTAACAGTGTCTATTGATTAATTTCTATGTTGTGGAGCTTCTGTAATATTAATACATTGCTCTGTGCAACACATAGGATCCTCATTTATCTAAGGACAGCACTGACATATTTCCAAAATAACGATTCCTGTTTCACGTCTGGTGCTCCAGAAGGACTAGCAAAGAGTAGAAGTGTAAGATTCTATTCATCACAGAGACACTTAGGGGTTGGGAGGGAAATAAGAAGAAATCCTGCTATGGAAAGGGACAAAGTGATCAACCTTGCCAATGCCCATAAATTATAACTGCCCCATTGAAAAAAAAGTCATTGTAAGGATTAAAAAATAAAGCAATATATTTCAGGGAGATTTCCCATCCTCATCAAAGCAAATAATTCTTAGTCTCAAAATAGAAAAAAAATCGGTGTATGAGTATTTTATTTAAAAAATGGAGATACAAGCACCTTAGTTATTATAATTGATCCCTAATCTAAAACTTACCAAAAGGAAGTCTAAAAAGAAAGTGTTTCTTAGCCATCATCAAGGCCCATAAAGCTGCTATCTGTCAAAGAAAGGAAGTGAAAAGGAGAAACTGTCTTAAACAGAATTTGGACTATTTTAAAAAATCATGGAATTTATACGTTTTGTGTGCACTCCTTAGCCCATGCCTGTTCTTTGATGCAAATTATGGAGGTGAAACAAAGGAAATCTCTAGCTGCCTCTGGGTTGCTCCCTAGCAAAGCTCCCAACATTTTTTATTCTGGTTCCAGAGATGTCCAAGACAAGCAAGTCCCTGAAGACAAAAAGGAGGTTAGTGGCTTTCAGGAGGTAGGGCAGAGAGGTACTTCAGTTGTACAGGACTTCATTTAGGAGGGGCAAAAGTTTGAAACTTAGTTAATGCTGCTGGTTGAACACATTCTAACTCATAAACTTGTGCACATTAAAATGACTAATCCCATGATATGTGAATTACATCTGTTTTTTTAA